ACCGAGGCAGGTGCGTGACACCGAGGCAGGTGCGTGACACCGAGGCACGTGCGTGACACCGAGGCACGTGCGTGACACCGAGGCAGGTGCGTGACACCGAGGCAGGTGCATGCCTGTTTGTGATGTGTGTTTGAACTGCTGAGTGTACAGTATGTGGTTATCTCCTGCAGTTCGACGCAGGCAGTAAAAGTGGAAGGTGCTGCAGCTCTTAATGCTTCTGTAGATCCCCTCTGTGATGTTCTCCTAAACTTCAGAACAATGTGTATCCTGTCAGAAATACTCCAGGATGAATCAGACATTTTTAAACTTTGGTTGGCTTGCCATGAACAGAATCTGCATGAAGGTGACTTACGAAGAGGATACTAAGTTACATCAACTCACTCTTATTTGATCGAATTAAGATAAACTAAAAATATATTAATAAATATTATTGCACTGAAGAAGTTCCTCCCTTTGAAAACCTGGTAAATGTAGTAATGTGTGTTTGTGTGAGTACACACCTGAATGTGGCAACGCAGTTGCAGGTGGGCCAGCCCATCACGAAGCTCCTCTCAGGATCCGTGCTCCCCTCACACACTTCATCCATGCAGTTAGCCGTCCACATCTCACACACTCGGACTTGAGCCTTTACCTTAAAATGAGTCGAGGACCTGACAAAAAAATGAAAAGGTGAAAAAAGTGAGACTCAAATGTGTTCTTTTTTATCACACTAAATCTACTTCCATTCTACTTGTACAATAATAGTTTAAATAATTATCTCTGGTGTATATAAATATATAGGATTCATCTTTGGGGTATAAAGGCATTTCAAAGATAAACTGCTAGGATTTCTTTAAAGGGACAGTTCAGATCATTTGATTGGAATTTCCATGGCAAGATTATGAACAATTAACATCTTGCCTGCTGTAGATAACCTTTTTGAATTACCACAGTTTGTAGAGGTAATTTTAACATTTAAAAACATTATATCCAGTTTGGAGAGGTAATTTTAACATTTAAAAACATTATATCCAGTTTGTAGAGGTAATTTTAACATTTAAAAACATTATATCCAGTTTGGAGAGGT